TATTTATATATGCTGATTCTGATTCATGCTGATTCATGAATGCTGGTTGCTGGCACCCAATGACTTTCATAGTAGGAAAAAAAACTACTATAGAGATCAATGAGTGCCAGCAACACTGTAAAAAATGTTACTTAGATCTAACTTATAAAAAGTGAGGCAAGTGGTTGCATCAGACGTTTTAGGTTGATTCAACTTCCAGCCTTTTTTAAGTATTTTAAACACTAAAAAATTGCTTAAAACAAATGCAATAAAATTAAGTTGAGCCAACTAATATTTCTAAAATTACTCAAATCAGATAAACTTACTTTTTTTGTTAAACTTAACTTACTTATACATTGCTATATGTTGACTGTACTTATTTTAATTAAGTATTATGAACTTAATGATCTAAATAAAATTAACCATGCATATGTCATTTAAAACAAATTTAATTGACTTCTGGCTGTAACCTCAGAAAATAAATCTTCGTTTCTATATTGTAAGCACAATATACACTAGTAAAAACAGATAAACAGACTTTCCTGTCAATAACAATTAAATAAGAATGGGAAGATGGATTAAAGACCATAACATGTATTCAATATCAATCGATGTTCCTTTTAATAGTGACTACAAAATAGGCCATTAATGTTGCTACACGTACACAATACATAAATAAAAACATTAATAATACCAGATCCTATTGAGAAATCATCCAAGGCAACTCAGTGAGGAGATTTGCATATTTTGATGAAGATTTAGGATGCATAATGTCCAGTCCCACAAAGAGTCTCTAATATATCTCAAATGTATACAGTTTTGATGGATACTTGAAGTCGAGGACATCGGTAAGTCCAAACAGGAGCCATCATGCATATGACAGGTTTGGCAAACCTCTGACAGTCCTATGATAATCCAAACTGTGTTGGGCTGATGGCAAATTTTTCCCGTGGGCAGCCGCATGCACCTCTGATTCCTCACAACTCTATTGGTAGAGACAAAAAGAAACAGGAGTTCAGGTGGTTGATACCAAACAACATTAAATAGCTAAATACTAAATAGAAAATAACTACAAGTGAAGTTACAAAAGTCCAGTGAGAATGATGCATGGATGAAACACCTTAGTTTATCAGTTAAAAAATTACCTTAGTTAAAATTACCTAACTTCTATTTAAAAAATAAAAAAAGGTTATAGAGGTTGTGTAATTACATTATTCCAGGTGTTTTTAGTTATCAAATTTTAAAGAAAACTGTGATTTTACTCAGTGTAACAGTGCATGTCATTGTGGTTTCCTGTCAATCAAAGAATTATTAAAATTTAGGTATTACATTTTTTGTTTATTTTGACAACTTATAAAGCATAAGAATGTGTATGTAATTTAGATATTAAAACTGTTTGAAAATGGCTTTATGAAAATTATAGAATACAAATTCTATAATTTAATTGTCATCTTCATTTTGCACCAAACTTTGCACATCATAATACAAATTTTATTAAATAAATAAATAAATACATTGCCATTTTACACATTACATTAAGGTTTACATTAAATTTTTGCTAAAGCTACATTTAATTGACTTTTTCTTCAAATGTAATGTCACTGGCAAATGACAGTTCAGTGATTCAGTGTTATCAGTTAGCTTTATTGAAAGACTGACAGATAATAAGAAACTGCATTAGAATATTTTTATACTGTTTTTACTGTTGCACACATAAAAAAATCTTCAGATATCAAATGTAAGTTAATTCTATGGAGCCCACTATTGTTTGCAATTTTACCAATGTTTTACTTACCTGCAAATAATTATAGCTGTAATTGTATCTAATGTTTTTCTTACCTGGATGTGAAGTTTGAAGATCCACAGGTAACAAAATCACTTTGGTATCTAAAGACCAAAAACATGCATTTTAGAATGAGGTGCATACAATTTAAATGGTTCTGTAAACATCAGTAGTAAATGAAATTTAAGTTAAAATAAATTGTAAATCTGTAATTTATTCACTATGCAGCATTAAAAAACTTATGGACTAAATCTCTAAAACACAAACTTTAAGTTATACTTTCTCTTACGTTAAACACAAACTACTTAACTGTTTCATACGTTTCTGCATTTAATATCCATCCTTAATGTGCTGCTATAACTTCGGTGAGCTAACTTTAGCTAAGTTAGCGCTAACAAACTGAACCCCCACACCCCGACCGCCCACCAGTGACCTTCTTAATCGGTTCTGCAACGTTAGTTATACCTACTAAGTGTTTTAAAACTACTTTCACTATTTTTTCTCAATAATATCACTTTTAATCGTTAGCATAAACTAGCGTTGGTCAGCGTTAGCCAACTTAGCTTTCCACGTGAGAGCAGTCTAACTGTTAACATACCTGAGGCTACAGTACAATTTACAAAGCTAAAACCTCACCTGCCTAGCGAAGACAGCAGTTTTGCATGACTTTACAATTATCATTCGGCTAAATTTGCAACTTACCGTGTTAATCAGATCCGCTGCTGGGAGCAGTTAATGTCGACAATTGCAGAAGCTGCGTCTGCCTGCTAAATCCCGGTGTTACGGTTTAACTGGTGACCGTGTTAACTGGTGTCCCTTTCCAGATGTAAGCTATTCACGTTTGCAGATTGGCAGATTCGTCACTTTTTCACAGCAACAAAACATGTCCATACCAAATAAAGATTCTTATTACTCGGTGTCAGTGTCATTGTGTGCATTATTGATTTTAATAGCTGTGTAGCAGAACAGTATATAACCAAAGTAAATAAAAAAAATAATTAGAATTTACATGTCTTTAACAGGATTCGAACCCGTGTAGTGAAAAGGTTTAGCACACGTATCAATCAACTTATCTAACTGAGCTACTCAGAACTTCAAACGAAGCGGTCTGTTTTAATATATTTGTCAATTAAAACATGCCTTGCTGTGGTTGTGGACCCGTGTTAACATGTTTCCATCGATGTTAACATGTTTACATGCTGTTTAGTTACATGTACTCGCGTTAACGTGTTTCTACAAACTCTCCCGCTGATAGAATAGCTCTATGTGACTAAACGATGCTTCATCAGTTGCTCAAACCATGTTTTTTCTTAGTTCTAGACTCATGTCTACCTGTGCCTTTGGAGTCGTGTTAACTCGTGACCCATGCTCATACATGTAACGTAAATAAAGATTTTATCCAAAAAATGAATACAATGACGATATTATTATGCAACATATTATGTCTAATATATGTAATATATATTTCATATATAATATTATGCAACAGAATATTAGAATATTATGCAATCAGAATATAATAGTCCCATTGACTCGTGTTAGTCTGTGTCTACAAAGCTACACGAGCTGATATTTTCTCAGAATAGCTCTAAATGACTACGTTGTTCGGCTAAATAAGCATACGTTATAAATCGCAGTCCCCCCATTTTATTTTAAAGAGAATTTAAAAAAATCAGGCTACATAAACAAAACTCCTATGTGGATTCGAACCTACTAATAAAAGAGACTCAAGACAGGAACATACGTTCTAACTAATTGAGCTATCAAGCGTACATAGCAGTTTTTAGTCATTTTATCGTATCTAGCCAAATCATGTTCATAAGTACCTTGATACAGATGTGACCAAGATCATACATTGAAATGTTGCGATTTTCAATTAACATTCTGTTGCATAATATTATATATGAAATATATATTACATATATTAGACATAATATGTTGCATAATAATATCGTCATTGTATTCATTTTTTGGATAAAATCTTTATTTACGTTACATGTATGAGCATGGGTCACGAGTTAACACGACTCCAAAGGCACAGGTAGACATGAGTCTAGAACTAAGAAAAAACATGGTTTGAGCAACTGATGAAGCATCGTTTAGTCACATAGAGCTATTCTATCAGCGGGAAAGTTTGTAGAAACACGTTAACGCGAGTACATGTAACTAAACAGCATGTAAACATGTTAACATCGATGGAAACATGTTAACACGGGTCCACAACCACAGCACGGCATGTTTTAATTGACAAATATATTAAAACAGACCGCTTCGTTTGAAGTTCTGAGTAGCTCAGTTAGATAAGTTGATTGATACGTGTGCTAAACCTTTTCACTACACGGGTTCGAATCCTGTTAAAGACATGTAAATTCTAGTTATTTTTTTTATTTACTTTGGTTATATACTGTTCTGCTACACAGCTATTAAAATCAATAATGCACACAATGACACTGACACCGAGTAATAAGAATCTTTATTTGGTATGGACATGTTTTGTTGCTGTGAAAAAGTGACGAATCTGCCAATCTGCAAACGTGAATAGCTTACATCTGGAAAGGGACACCAGTTAACACGGTCACCAGTTAAACCGTAACACCTGTTAATGAAAAAGGAGTCACGCCAAACTATTAAAATCACGTTTTATGAACACCTGCCCACATCGACAGCTGCTCTAATAAATTGTCTGTGTCAACTCACTTTTATAACATTTATTCTACACAATAACCACGTAAAAAAATCTACTCAAATAAATTGCATTAGTTTTATTCAAAATATACAGTTATATAAAAACTGATATATTTTAAGTAAAGAGGAAGCAAATTTTATTTTTTTGGTATAAAACAAATAAAATTAACTAGATTGCAATTATTTAAAGTAGATAGAACCAACTTTGTGAGTGTAGCACTTTTTACAGTGAACCAGCATTCTTCAAAATATCTTATTTTATGTTCAACAGAAACTCAAATTGATTTTGAACAAGTGAAGAGTAAGTAAACGATGACAGAATTTTCATTTTTGAGTGAACTATCTCTTAAAAATCTGAATTCTTTGCACTGAAATGAACTTGCAGCATTGAATACTGTGACTTTGCAGATATTTTTGATGCTCAAAAAGCCGCGTTACACAAGTTTTAAAATCTAAATCATAATCAAGGAACCCCTTAAAGCACCTTTCTGTCTATAAAATTTGAATACTGTAAAACTTCCATTAACGCTCTCTACTGTGTGTTTGTGTGCAGGACGTCCCACGCACGGACTAAGAGTGAAGCAGCAGACCAGGCCGCTCTCGCAGCATGTCAGGAGTCAGATTTAGCCCGAGCTGTGGCTTGTGAATTATCTCCAAGCTTCCATCAACCAGGTAAAGTTTCACACAAGAAGAGCTTGTCTTTCCCACACACACCCTGAAAATAACACTCAAAAACCCGTGATGAAAGCCTTACACTCCTCACACCTAAAGCTAACTTTCTGCTGAGTCTGAAACTGGAGTACAAACAGACATGAATGTTATTCCATAGCTACTCGAAAAAAAAATTTTTTACCCTCTTTGACTGCGATTACTCATTAGACTATATATATATATGTATATATATATATATATATATATATATATATATATATATATATATATATATATATATATATATATATTGTTTTAGTTACTTTATTTGGTTGTGTGTTTTTGTGGTTTTTATAATATTTTTAATATATTTGTTTATTTTTTCATTTTAGTTTTAGGCTATGTTAACACAAAGCCATAGCCTTTCCCATCATCATAATTTTTTTTGAGCAAGAAAAAATGACGGGGACGAATACTTTGACAGCTTGCGACATCATCTGCCACTTTCACTGAGTATATTTACTTTAATATGACTAAGATAATACTCTTATTAAGGGTCTGCCATATAAACAGTGGTTTTTGATTACCTTAAAAGACAACCTGCCACGAAATGCAGAGGTTTTTCTTTCTGTTCGCCATGCCGTATCAAATTCCATTAAAACAAAAGTCAAAAGATTAAAAATGAAACATACGAAATTAGATGAACCTCTGGAGAAAACGCTGGAGAGCCTGGTAATGTGATATTAATTGTTTTATACTGAAACTATTTCTAAAAGTGCTTCCTTGGTCTTATCCATATTGCTTTGCACATTAAACACATGTCGGCCACAACAGGAAATAAAACTGCAACTGCGTTAACTGCATGCATTTTTTTTTACGCATTTAATATTTCAAATTAGTTGTTTAATTTTGACAGCACTAATATACAGTTGAAGTCAGAATTATTAGCCCCCTTTTGATTTTTATTTTCTTTTTTAAATATTTTCCAAATAATTTTTAACCGAGCAATGAAATTTTCACAGTATGTCTGATAATATTTTTTTCTTCTGGAGGAAGTCTTATTTCTTATTTATATATTTTGGCTAGAATAAAAGCAGTTATTAATTTAAAAAAAAAACTATTTTGGGACAAAATTATTAGCCCCTTTAGCTAATTTTTTTTTCAATAGTCTACAGAACAAACCAACATTATACAATGACTTGCCTAATTACCCTAACCTGTCTAGTTAACCTTATTAACCTAGTTAAGCCTTTAAATGTCACGTTAAGCTGTATAGAAGTGTCTTGAAAAATATCTAGTAAAAAATTATTTACTGTAATCATGCTAAAGATAAAATAAATCAGTTGTTAGAAATAAGTATAATAATAAATATATATATATTTGATAATGTAGTTTGACAAATAGGTGGTTCATTCCGCTGTGGTGACCCCTGATTAATAAAGGGACTAAGCCGAAAAGAAAACGAATGAATGAGTTTGATAATCATTGCAGCTGTTAGCTGTTCGACAACATAATGTACTTTTGAGACTTTTTAAGGCGAGTTTGTTGTTTAGATTGCCACTATGCAGATTATTTATAAGAATAGTGCCTTCCATAAATATTTATAAATTTGGAGATACAGTACCATCCACAAGATGGCGACAGAGACTCTTTGTGTATGCCTGAGTTACTGTTTCGTTGGCCGTTTGTTTGTTTTTAATGAATCTACTGTTTTCGTTCCTGCAGACAAGTTCAGTGAACAGAGAGAAAGAAGAAATGCCCGCATGTGTTAAGCAATTTTCCTTATCACAGACACAACAGTAATTTGGTAGTGTTTGCATTGCTTCGGCTTTTTGGGGGTTAATTATTGTGATATCTCAATTGCAACAAAGAAATGCTTTGAGATATCTCTGTAGACTAATGGCATTTCATGCCATTTAGCATTATAATCTTAAAATGTGAGCAAAAATACTAGTTTTGTCATCACTTTAGACATTACGCAAGAGAATTATTCGAACACTAGCTCTGAAAGGGCGTTGCTGATTTAGTAACAGTTCCTGCTGTTCTGGTCAGTTGCACATGTAAATGAATTGCAGAAGAAAGTAATTCATCACACAAAAGGGTTTTTAGACTCTCCGTGTTTGATTTTCTTTTTTATACACATGATTATGCTGACAAACTGTTGTATAAACACAATATCATACTCGTAGCAATGCAATATGGATGTATATCATCACTGGTGGGACACTAAGGCACTCGGCCTGTGGCCTCGTGTCAATGCACACCTCCCACCAGTGCTAATAAACAGCCATATTGCTATGCCACTCGTGTCATATTGCTCATGTCATATTGCTTATATATATATATATATATATATATATATATATATATATATATATATATATATATATATATATATATATATATATATATATATATATAATTTCACGTTTATGAGGAAAAAGTTTTGTTATGGATGTGATCTCTTCATTATGATATATATAAAATCACAGATATATATAACTTATTTTATATATATATATTTTTTTTTTTTAATTAAGATTTTAAATCTAGAATTGCCATTCAGATACTATATTATTTCAGAAATTTTTTTTATTCTGTAGGACAAGAGATGTACACTGAATAATAAAATGCCTAGAATATTTACCTTTTTTTTCAAATGAGCACTTTATATTGCCTCTTTAAATATATATTACACACTGCTCTAAAGAAATCAAATGTATTACTCAACAACACAGAGCACTACCATTCAACGGCTCCTCAGTAATTGTTCTAGTTCCCTGTGGAAATATTTCCGCCAGCAGCCAAAGAATGTTGTCCACATCAAGCAGAGAATGTTCTCTGGATCAGGAATGTCAGGCTGGTTGAGTGTGCTGTGCGTGTGGCGAATTGCTATCAGTAAACGGATTCAGATAAAAAGTGGCCATAGCGAGTTACAGCTCTATTGTGCCGCTCACCTCTCATGGAAAAGGTCCCAGAAACACTTCTCAGTTTTCAGGAGTGAAGCCCACACACAGAGGTCAAGGGAGAAAGGTCAGACTCACTCTGGCTATGGTACATAATCTTCTGCAGGTCTATAACTAGAACTTACCTTCCAGAACAGGATGGGATGTGTGACTGTAAACATGAATTATGTCTTACGGCTACCTGTAAAGTGTGAGCGCCTCGTGAGAGATTAGATCTTAATTAAATTGAGCCTTTTCCAGAGATCTGCTGTTTTTACTTTTGTGGTGGCCTGATTTTCCCTTTTTAGTCTTTAAATGTGCCATTGAATGTAAATATGGATATATCTATATAGCCATAGCTGAATAATAAGAGTTCCCTACATGAAAAGACATACTGTGAGTATCATGAATATGCACACCCCCTGAAGCGTTTGATTTGCCACAACATTTTGTACTGAGACTACAACAATGACATTTTTTTTATGAAATGACAAGTTTACCTAAGCTTGTATTTTACTTAATATGTATGTGTGACTTTTATTTTGAAGTTTTAAGAAGCAGCAGCCATGCCTAACCATGGATGCAAAACACAAAATATGGAATAAACGTCTTATACATTAATTCAGTCCAAACCTGAAGTGGCACAAGGCCTGTTTAACATATTTTTTTGTAGTTTAACATGTATATTGTGACATTTGTCATGTATGTTTGTGATGAGGCAGCAGATTCTTCACATTTTTACGTTTGTAATGAGGCAACACAAACATGTTAACTTGTGAATATATTTGTTTAATGCACAGTTATGCGTTGTCATATTACTCAGCACTTACCGTGAGTCGTCTGATATAAAATGACGGCAGTACACTTTATGAAAATCCTCTGTTTATGTGAATGTTGATATTAACTCTTGATTATATTTTAAATACGTTAATATGACAACATATGAATCTAAATACATCTATATGTTGGCCCCTTGTGTCAGGTTAATTGTAATTTACCCTATATTTCATCCTTAACACAACTCAGGAGCAAACGAGGTTACTCTATTGACATAAAAACAATCCTTTTTACAACAGAATATACTAATTTAGTTGAAAAGATTGTCATTTAACAAGGAATCGTCTAAATTTGATAACTGAAGTATGGTTATTTTGTATGCGTGTATTTCAGAGCTTATTAATATTCGTGATCAGGAGTGTTGCTAGACTTGAAGCTCTATATATCCTTTCCCCCCTTACATTCTTACTCTTATATAAATAACTTTACTCAGTAGTATAAACAAATACAATTTTTATTATTAGAAACTTATTATTTTAAGACATTTTAAAATGATGGTGAAATGTAATAGAATATCAAGGAATTCAAGGAGACAAATCTAATAACTAGTGCATCTATAATCGGTGCATCACAAAAAGCATAAAAAAAAACAAATCTACTGTATGCTTTTCTGTAATCATGTGGAAAAATGTGTTTAGATTTTGCTCCGCTAAAAACATAGGATGAGAATCTTGTTGTATATTACTGACCCTTAATATTCATGTTTCCTCTCCCCATTTCTGTTTGCTTCTAGTAGCAGGTAGAGATTTACAATGTCTGCACCAAAAAAACATAATAATGTTCTGTTGTCAGTAAGTTATAGGATGATTCTAAGGCTCCCCACTCCTAACCTTTGCGGTCCAACCCACACTTATAATCCCTCAACAACTATAACTAACCATTCCGAAATTACAGATTCAGATTATCCAATCCATTGTTTATGAAAACTCTGTTTTTTACAGAGTTATAAGCTACATTCAGCAATTAAAGCAATGCTGGGTTGTGTAAAATGTGCTATATAAATAAACTAATAAATAACTAACTAACAAAATAGAGTAAATAATACAAATTGTAGTACATTAATGGTCTTCAGTGAGCTAACACTACTACACCGAACAAGATATGAGTCAAGTTAAATAGACATACCCATATGATTGAGGCACTTCTGATTAGATTAATCCCTGAGAGAATATAATTTGTTAATGAGTCTATAATAAGTGTCACCAGATTTAATGACTAACACACTTGAGGTCCAACTGC